AGTGGAAGTTAGCGACTTTACTTTTTTAGCTTTTTATTTTATTTGATCAAAACAGCCTCATGCAATGTTTCAATATGTTTGAAAAGTGTGAGAGTTTTACACGTTTATTCCATTTACTGGTAGGATTCCGGTGTAAGTGTATTTACTGTAAACGTAATTGATATTCGTTTATATGTGCTGAGGGACACATTAAAATAGCTGTCTGTGGTAATTAGCATTGCATGCCATATGCTTCTCAACTGGTGTGTCACAGTTTGTTTTGTGCTGTGAGTTACTGGTCAAGAGTGCAAAATTCTGAAGACATTTAGAGATTTTGCATATTTTGGACCAGTTCTTCCTTTGTCATGCTTTAAAGAAGTAGACTTATTGATGTGTTGACTAACAAGCATGGGTAACGTAATTATAATTTTATAGTTTATTTATAATATTTTATATTATAATTTTAACTAGTGATTTGATTTTACATTTAAAGTTAATACATTTTAAAAGGACTAAATCGTAGAACTAAATCTGTGCATATTTCTCTCCTGATTCAGACGAGACAACTTTTTCACTGGAGAAAGTTATATTATGCATAGAGGATTCGTATTTTATCCAGAAGCAATGGTTTGAAGTTAAAAACGTCTTAATGATGGATTTGTTACTTACAAACATGCAGCTTTTTGGTTCACAAGTCATTAACCGATTGGTTGGAGTGGTGTGGATTACTGATGGATTATTGTGATGTTTTTATCAGTTGTTTGGATTCTCATTCTGACGGTACCATTCACTGTAGAGGATCCATTGGTGAGCAAGTGTTGTAATGCTACATTTCTCCAAATCTGTTCCCATGAAGATACAAACTTTGTAACAAGCAAATTTTCCTTTTAAGGTGAACTATTCCTTTAAACTATTGTCACTATTTAACTTTATTCAAACGAGGGAACCAATAGCATGGCTGCAAAGTAATAAATTGTAGGAATTAAATCTTAATTTGTGACCTTTTTTTTTTTTCTTCTGCATGTCATGCGCAGGGCTCTGGCTATTGTACTGAAATACTATCTGTTCATCATTCAAGATTTCAGTAAAGAGAGTAAATCTGGTGGGCTGCAGAAAGTCTACAGTGGGTTAGCACTGGAGATTTCAATTATAAACCACACAATAAATATGAGAATAAAGCCAGTATGGTGTTCCATTGTAAAATGGATCACGTGAAGTATGCAGGGTTATATTAGTTGTAATGAAATTAAAGCAGGACTTAAGTAGGCTACATCTTTATATGTAATTTTATAATGACTAATTAATTATTGTCCTTAAAATACGGTTGAAGTGTACTGCTGAATGTTTTGACAAGCATTTGTGGTAAACTAAAATATACTTAAATGTAATTTCTAATGTAATTTTTGAATGGCATGTCATATATTATTTGTAATTTCACATTTGTAACAATGAAGTTGCAATTTAGTCCAGTGCTCTCCATAAGTATTGGGACAGTAAAGAAAAAAAACTGTTGTTTGCTGTGTAGTCAAGACATCTGTAAATATGATTATAATATGAATATGGGACAAAACTATAGATTGTCACATTTTATTATTAGGTGTTTCAACAAATACATGTTTTACCAAATAAAAGGGACAGCACTTTTAGAGTTGCATCCCCTTATCTAATGTGAGCATAAGTACTGGGACAACTGAACTTAAAACTGTTGCTTGTTTTTAATCATATTTAAAGATTTACTGACTCCACAGCAAACAGAGCAATTTCGTTCTTACTGTCCCAATACTTATGGAGGGCACTATACATATACATATTTAATGTAATATCAAATTAGTTCAAATTAACTGACAAAAGATTGTTTAAAAATGATTAAAATGTCTTTTAAAAAATTTGAACTAATTTAAAATGTCTCTTAACTTTTAAAAGTGCACTTAAGTCTTAAGAAAGCACGCGCACACACACACACACACACACACACACACACACACACACACACACACACACACACACTCACACACACACACTCCTTCTCCCTGTGGCTGCATGGAAATGCTCATCTCTTTCAGATGTGTCTCTCGTTTGACAATCGAAGCCGTGGGGCAGTGAGCACTTGAATGAGTTTCTGACAGCGTGTGTAGTTGAGTGTGTGTTAATGTGATCATGTGGGCGGCTGCAGCGCCCTGTAATAAAAGGCAGTAGGTTGGAACTGAACTGGAGGGCATTACTGCTTGTTTGTGTGTGTGTGTGTGTGTCTCTAATCACGTTTATTGGAAACCAATAGAAGTGCTAGCAGATGTTACAGCTGTAAAAGCTTGTAGTGTGTGTGAGTTGTAATAGAGGGTTGTGCACGTTGTAGTACAGCTTATCAGTAGATGTATGTGATGTTGGCTTTTTCATTTTTCAATGGAAAGACCTGCAAAACTGATCAGGTTCATAAAAATTTGGACTGTTTTGAACATAATACTGGTTTACTGCTTATACTGCATATATGTTAGACTACCTACTATATAAAAGTTTGGGGCCAGAAAAATTTTACTTTTATTATTTGAAAGAAATTGTTTTATTCATGTCATTTTCACTGTGTGCTGTATGTAAAATGAGTGTTACCTTGGCTTTATTTGAAAAAAATATGATTCCCAATGCACACAAATTTCCCAGAATACTGAGTGCTCTGTTGGTTACAGTTTACTTCCTTTTTAATTATATTTGTATTACATATTTATTTATTTGTGGAAAATACTTTGTCATCTAAAGTATAAGTATGTTTATTTTACAACTTTATTTTTTAACCCATTTTCAAATTTCTTAAATATTAATTAAAATAAATAAATTTATATCGGCTTTATATTGGCAATCGACCACCCTGCTTTCCAAGATATCGGCATCGGCTGTCAAAAAACCAATATCGGTCGACCAAATGAATGCCATTTGCTTTGATATTTTCTGTCTCATGCAATGATATTCATTTATTTTAAATGTGACTTAAGTAGGGATGCACAATGAATCATATTTGAATCATCAAGATTTCTGCTTTTCTCGATTTATTAATTATGATCGTCTGCGATTTCTGGCAACTGGTTATTTATACTGAAGATGTGTTATTTTAATTTGGCATTTGCTTTATCTTGCATTGGTAACAAGCCTCTACAAGCTTTCATGGTTGTGGTTGCCAGATGTCAATTCCCCCAATCAGAGTTTTTTCATTTTCGGCCCTGTGGGTTACTTAATCTTCCCAACCTGGCAACCGTGAACACATGCTCTATCAACATTTTGTAAAAAGCACTGATGAGCTGAATAAACCTGTAAATTGGAGTGTTCTGCTCACATAAAAATGTAAATAAGTCTGGAGCTGTGATAAACAGCTTGTGCACAGCTATGGCACATGACACAGTGCTGCCCACATGGCTGTTGCTCCTATAAAAAACTCTTTTCTTCTATCACTATGATTTTTGACTGAATTAATAAGTCCTAAATACAAAGCGTGGCACAATACTTAACAACAAGAACTTTCAAAATAAAAAACATCAAAATACATGAACTCCATGAAACCAGCGGGAAAAAAAATCAAAACAGCCATAGATTCTGTCACTGAAATTTTTCAGCCATAGATGCAATAAAATACCTCTTTTTCAGTTTTCAGCAGATAGAGAAAATATGACGAAACCCATAAACCATCCTATAACATTATCTTGATTTTAATTAAATTAAAATCAGAACTTGTTTATTATACATTGACAAGTCTGTCATTGGATTCTGGAGCTGAGTTAACGCTTCTGTCAGTCAGCCAAAGGCCATGGTTATTGCCCGATGTCTATAATCTCAAAATGGCGACATTTAGTCCAATTTGTTCATGTGTAAATTCTGCCTTAACGTGCTGCAGTATGTAAACACACAGTATATTAGCTGTGTGGTTGTGTATTCTGTGAGAAATAAAATCTCTCTAGATTTTTTTACTTTTTTTTTATGAACTTCAACAATAACAAACAAACAACACTCCTTCATGGGTACATACATAAATATTTTTCCCAAAGTATAACACAAAAAGTAAAAGTAATTTCAGTCTGGCCAACTGGTTACGATATAAGCAAATATTTGTAAGCATGTATACGTGAATATTTGTGGTCATGCATTCATAAACATAATACTCATTTCTGTAGGCATACTATCAAGCAGCCGTTGATCCTAATTACATACATTTACATTAATGAATAGACATATTCCACTTTGGCATTTATCTGTCTTCTCTCTGTTTTGATATATAGATTGTCCATTTCCCCCAGTGTTTCTTAAAAGTCTTTTCTTGCAGTCTCAACCTGAATGTCAGTCTTTCCATCTTGTAAATTTCTGTAACTGTTTATTCCTACTGAGTTCTTGTTGGGGGACAAAATAATAGCTTTTAATCTTTTACATCTGCCTTAAGTTCATCTGTCCCAATACTTATGCTCACATCAGATAGTGGGATGAACTCTAAAAGTGCTGTCCTTTTTATTTGGTAAAACATGCGTGTTGAAACAGCTAATAATAAAATGTGACATTCTGTAGTTTTGTCTCATATTCATCTGTTAATTTTGTCGTTACTGTTCCAATACTTATGGATACATACATATTGTATGGCTACAATACATACTTATATATATGTATGTGTATATATATATATATATATATATATATCTTTTAAAGGAACAGTTCACCCAAAAATGCATTATTCATCATCATATACTTACCATCAATTTGTTCCAAACCTGTACAAAATACAACTTTTAATTTTTTTTCCCATACTATGGACGTCAATGGCTGCTTCGAACTGTTTGGTTACCAACATTCTTCAAAATATCTTATAGAAGTAAGAAACTCACACAGGTTCAGAACAACTTGAGAATGAGTAAATGACAGAACTTTCATTTTAGGGTGAACTATCCATTTAAGTGGGTTTGCAACTGTCATAAAACATATTTTTTCAAATAACAGAGAACTGAAAGTTCTGTACATAAAGAGAAATGTCACTTGTGCCTTTACTGTCCCAGGGCTAGGCTTTAGTATAGCGGGTGGTGTGGGGAACCAGCACATCCCTGGAGACAACAGCATTTATGTCACAAAGATCATCGAGGGAGGAGCAGCTCATAAGGATGGGCGACTACAGATTGGCGATAAGATACTGGCGGTAAGACGATACATCACTAATGAGGACTGACACGTGGAAAGATAGTCTGTATTAGACTGAAGCAACATCATAGCTGTAGCTTTGCTGTTGTGTGGTACTGGCTCTTCAATGCTGCCACCTGCAGCTCACAGGAGGAACTACAGGCAGGTTGTGCATGTTAGAATGCAGTAGAAAAGCAATCAGTTTATCTATCTGTAGTGTTTACTTTGATGTACATAAATCCCAAACTTTCTTCTATTTAGTTTGGTGCCACTAGTGATACAGAAATTTAAACAACTTTGATATCCACAGTTCCTACATTTCTGCTTTTAACTTGGTATGCCTTTTGAAAAAGATGTACTTAACAAAACATTTTAATATTACTAAAAATAGTACAATACATTTACATTTAGTCATTTAGCAGACGCTTTTATCCAAATCAACTTACAAATGAGGACAATGGAAGCAATCAAAATCAACAAAAGAGCAATGATATGCAAGTGCTATAACAAGTCTCAGTTAGCCTAACATAATACATGTAGCTAGTTTTATTTTTTCAATTATATAATAAATAAAAAGAAAACCGATAGAATGACAAAAGAGCAAGCTAGTGTTAGAGGCCCTTTTTAGTTTTTTGTTAATTTTATAATAAATAAAAAGAAACATAGATAGAATACAAAAATACTTTTTTTTTTAAAGAAAACAAGCAGTTAGTAAATGAATAAAGCGCAAGTCTAAAAGGAGCAAGTTTTCTTTTAAAGAATAGAATTAGAATAGAGAGTGCTAGAGTTAGAGGGTCAAATAAAGATGAAAGAGATGTGTTTTTAGCCAATTCTTGAAGATGGCTAAGAACTCAGCTGCTCAGATTGAGTTGGGCAGGTCATTCCACCAGGAATGAGAACATTTAATGTAAAAGTATAATAATAATAATAAGTATAACAGAGATGATATACTTCAAAATAATGTTTAAGTTTGAACTGCATGTTAAGTGAAAGTAAATGCAAATGTATTAGTTAAAATTTTATAATAAATGCAATTAGCTGAACTTGTTTTTTTGACCTTTGTTGACTGAATTAGGACTTAAGTACAACTTTATATGCCATTTCTAAATTACTTCTATTGTCTTTGCTGCCAAATGTAATGACAAGCATTTATTGTAAATTAAAATACACTTTAGTGTCATTTCTGTTTTAAACTTGTACGCCATGTATTTAAATATATTTGTAATGAAGAAGTTTAAATTTAGCAGTGTTATTTTAGTATCACTGAAATGTTATAATTGTAAATCATATTTTGAAAGTTTTATTTTTCTGTCTTCATTTTAATTTGTTAAAGTTTTTTGTTAAAAATTGTGTTCGTAATTTTTTTAGTAGTTTTTGTTTTTTATGACTATTGTTATTTTCAGTTTTAGTTATTTTACTACATTAAGTTAAACTTTAATTTTATTTCAGTTCAAATTTATTTGTATTTTATTTTAAGTAACAAAAATGTATTTTAATTGTTTTAGTTTTAGTTACAGTTTTAGTTAACTAAAATAACCCTGCAACATCTATTACATTTCAAATGTTAAAACTCAAATGTAATGTCAAATAACACTCTACAGTTAAAATTATAATCATGCACTTTACATGTGCTTTAGCATGTTAGTCAACATCAGAATCATCAAAATATGTGTGTCTTTGAAAATCGATAGATTATTAAAAGTGAATGATTTCAAATGTACTTTAAAGTAAACTTAACATTATTACAAATTGCTCTTATACAAATGTAATTAAGTGTGTTGAGAAACATATCCATGGAAGTTTAAATACACTTTTATTTTATTAATATTATATTATCTACAAGTAAAGTTTTTTTTTATTATTCTTTTAAGAGTTGAAGTATACTGCAAGTGCACATCCAAAACAATTAAGTGCATTTCTGCATCTGCAGGTGAATAATGTGTGTTTGGAGGACGTGATGCACGAGGATGCGGTGGGCACACTGAAGAACACAGCAGAGGTGGTCTACCTCAGAGTGGCAAAGCCAAACAACCTGTACCTTACCAGCTACAACCCACCAGACCTCACAAGCAGTGAGTATACAGCACACAGAAGCGCTGCTTCACAGAAAGAACACTGCATAGTATGTTTCAAGCAAAACTCTTTAAAGAATCACAGGTAAATCCAGCTTTCACTCACTACTTTGTGTGTGCTCACCATTCAGCGTACTCTCCGCATCTGGACACAGACCTTGGACATCCAAACTTCCTGGCTTCGGATTACCCACAAGCCCTCACTCCCACCTCACCAAGCCGCTTTTCTCCTGTGCTGCATGGCTTGATGGGAGATGACGACTTACCCAGGTAACACGCTCTGAGTAACTGGAAGCAGTTCCTGCACAATCGCGGAGTTAAAATAAAGTTTAAACAAAGCGCTCATCACCTTGCATCAGTGTTATTTAGTACTCTGTTAGTAGTAGTATTGTAATAAATTATTATTACAGTTTTTATTAACACTTTGAAGTAGCTTTTATTTTGCTATTTTCTGTTTCCATTTTAATTTAAATATAGTTTCAGTTGTATTAATTTTGTGTTAATTTGATCATTTTTAGTTTTTTTTTTTAAATAACTCTCTCTATATATCGTACTGATTTTTCATTCAGTCTTAGTTTTCATTTTAGTACATCAAGTTAAACTAAATTCAAATGAAAAATGTTGCTTTGGTAACTAGATTTTTGTAATTATTATTATTTTATTTTATATCAGTTCATGTTTCTTTTATTTCAAGTAACACATTTTTTGAATGGTTATAGTTTTAACTATAATAACCCTGCCTTCGATAAATTAAATACATATTAATCATCAGCAGCAGTAGAAGTTAAAGGTTTAGTTTTAGATTCAGGTCACACCTATGATGCAAACAGCAGATTGCCAGATTGTTTTGAGGGCTTGTTTTAAATCTTATTGATTTAATACGTGACATTTATTCACTAAACAAAAATGATTGAGTGACGTCATTGACACTTCCTGTTTGCTTTCTCCAGTTACATACAACCACAAAGCCCTAGCACTAACATTTTTAATAATATTTCTTAAGCACATGGCTGCAGAGTCCCTTTTAGACCCAATAACATACCCAAAAGCTGTTATGTTAAATAATAATAATTATTGTTTATGTTATATTTATTATTAGCTATTCAAATAAGCCTAGTTATTCAAATAAAGTGCTACACCAGTAGGTGGTGACCAGTTCATTATATTACTGTTAAAATATTAATTCAGAGGCATATGGCAAATTCATTAACCAAAAGTAAGTTGATAAGTAAATCCTTCAAGATGAGATCAAGTTCTGCCTGAATATATATAAAGTCGGTATAAATTTTTCCCGCCAACATTTTGTCCACAAATGACAATCTGCCTTGCCGCTGTGCCTCTGGCTTCCTTACTGAGGGAGTGAAGGACTAAATAATTATGGAATAACTTTCTATCTAGAAGCTCCCTGTAAAAAAAAAATGTGAGCAATATAACCAGAAGCTTATACCACAAAATTAATAATTTTCTATCACAATAATGATATATTTCAAAATTTAGTAATACAATCTGAAATTAGTTTTGCCATTACACTGAGACTTTATTTCTCGCAACTGCAAACTTACATCTCACAATTGTGGCATTTTTTTCTGAGGATTGCTGTCATGATTATTGTTTTTTTTGTTGTGTTTCCTGTGATGTCCTGAGTTTCCTTGTGGATTTATTATTAAAGTATGTTGTTGATTCTGCTTTGTCGTCATGCGCTTATTATTGAGCACTGTGCGTAACAATTGTGAGATGTAAAATTTGCTTTTCTGAGAAAAAAAGTCTCAGACTTTTGAGATAAAATGTCACAATTATGTTTTATTTTATTTTTGACATATGTTCAAATAATTATGGAATAACTTTCTATCTAGAAGCTCCCTGTAAAAAAAAAATGTGAGCAATATAACCAGAAGCTTATACCACAAAATTAATAATTTTCTATCACAATAATGATATATTTCAAAATTTAGTAATACAATCTGAAATTAGTTTTGCCATTACACTGAGACTTTATTTCTCGCAACTGCAAACTTACATCTCACAATTGTGGCATTTTTTTCTGAGGATTGCTGTCATGATTATTGTTTTTTTTTGTTGTGTTTCCTGTGATGTCCTGAGTTTCCTTGTGGATTTATTATTAAAGTATGTTGTTGATTCTGCTTTGTCGTCATGCGCTTATTATTGAGCACTGTGCGTAACAATTGTGAGATGTAAAATTTGCTTTTCTGAGAAAAAAAGTCTGAATTTTGAGATAAAATGTCACAATTATGTTTTATTTTATTTTTGACATATGTTCATGTCTTCGAGCCATAAAACTGCTAATTGGACATTATAAGGCATTATAGAAATATCAATCCGATTTTCAGTAAAGCTGTTTTGAAACAGTGTGAAAAGCTCTATACTTGATTTAATAAAAAAGCATGCTTTAGCTAAAACAGCTATCTAAATCAACAATAGTTTAAAAAAAATTATAAATTAATAAATGTTAGCTTGCGAGCATAAATGTGACTCTTGACCACAAAACCAGTCTTAAGTCGCTGGGGTATATTTGTAGCAATAGCCAAAAATCAATAGGATATTAATTAAAGATAATGTTCCATGAAGATATTTTGTAAATTTCCTACTGTAAATATATCAAAACTTCATTTTTGATTAGTAATATTCATTGCTAAGAACTTCATTTGGACAACTTTAAAGGCGATTTTCTCAATATTTAGATTTTTTTGCACCCTCAGATTCCAGATTTTCAAATAGTTGTATCTCGGCCAAATATTGTCCTATACTATCAAACCATACATCAATGAAACACTTATTTGTTTTGCTTTCAGATGATGTATAAATCTCAATTTCAAAAAACATTGACCCCTATGACTGGTTTTGTGGTCAAGGGTTACAAATGTGCATCAAAACACTGACCATATCTGACTGATAGCACTGTGCCGCTGTTTCAGGTTCAGTGAAACGATTATTATCATCCTGGAATTCTTTTGTAATTTATCTTCACCTTCTGTTATTTCCTCACTCTATCTTGTGTCACAGGGACCCGAGGCGTGTTGTGATCCACAGAGGATCGACGGGTTTGGGGTTTAATATAGTTGGAGGGGAGGATGGTGAGGGAATATTCATCTCTTTCATCCTGGCAGGAGGCCCTGCAGACCTGAGCGGAGAACTGCGCAAAGGAGATCAGATCTTAAGTGTGAGAACATGCAAACACATACACATGTACTCATGTATGAAAAGAATAATTGCAGTTTGAAATGAAAGGCTCTGTTTTCACATGTGCTTTTGCATTGTGTGGATTTAATCAGCAGGTGCAATCAGTACAGAATTTAAAATGAGGTCCCTGACAACTACAGTTAATAATAGCCATGATGTTGGTCAGTAGATCAGTATGTTTAATGATTAGTTATACATACTGTATCTTTTAATGGAGACTTCATCCCATTAATCCTGACAAGCATCTTTGTCCATGTATCATAGATATACAGTATATACCTGACAATCAAAGACAAAGTCCAAAGTATAAGACACAAATGGTCTTTACACCGAAAATAGAAAAAAAAAAAAATCCAAGAATACTCCAAAACATCTATATTGTGCATTGAGTATGCTGACTGCTATAATATCAATATGCCTTTTAAGAGAAAGGAGTAAATTCAGCTTTGCCTTTTCACAGGAATAAATCACATTTTAAAATATAATCAAATAGAAAACAGTTATTTTAAATGGTAATAATATTTAACAATATTGCTGTTTTTTAAATAAATAAATAAATGCAGCCTTGCTGAGCATAAGATACTTCTTTAAAACATTTAAAAAATCTTACTGACCCCAAAAATTATACAGTATATAACAATGTATATACAGTATATGGAATAGTTATTTTTATACTCCCATATTGTGCATTTTTACAATATTGCTAAGCATGTTAATTGTCATAATATTATTATGCATTTTAAAGGGATAGTTCACCCAAAAATGAAAATTCTGTCATCATTTACTCACCTTCAAGTTGTTCCAAACCTTTCTTTCTCCCGTTAACCAGATCCATTATTTGAAAAAGCTGCACTGAGTAACAATTTGGATTTAGATTTTTTTTTACACTTGCACTTAAAGGGATAGATAGTTCACCCCAAAATCAAGTTCTGTCATCATTTATTCATCCTCAAGTTGTTCCGAACCTGTGTGATATTCTTTCTTCTGTAAGATATTTTGAAGAATGTGGGTAACCAAAAGTGCACAGTAGCTATCGATTTCCATAGTATGGAAAAAAATACCATGGAACTCAACCATTACCTGCCAACTGTTTAGTTACCAACATTCTTTAAAATATCTTCTTTTGTGTTCAACAGAAGAAAGAAAGTCATACAAGTTTGGAAAAACTTAATGTTGAATAAATGAAAGAGTCTTCATTTTTGGGTAAACTGTCCCTTTAAGAGCTGTTTGGATTAGTTCATGCCAGCATATAGGGATCTAAAAAATGCAATAAAGAATAGAAAATAAATAATGCAATGCAGCAGTTCTGATAATGGTGTAGTGTGGCTGCTGTTTTCTTGTTGAAATGTAGTTTGGCAGTAATGTTACAGTAATATGTTAAAGGGTTAGTTCACCCAAAAATTTAAATTAGCCCATAAATTACTCACCCTCAAGTCATCCTAGGTGTATATGACTTTCTTCTTTCAGACAAATCCAGTCGGAGTTATATTAAAAATTGTCTTTGATCTTTCAAGCTGTTTTATGGCACTTGGCAGTTATTTAATTTCTTTTGGACTGAAGCATGCAACACCCGCTGACTGCAATGATAGAGCTTGAAAGATCAAAGACAATTTTTAATATAACTCAGACTGAATTCGTCTGAAAGAAGAAAGTCATATACACCTAGGATGACTTGAGGATGAATAATGTATGGGCTAATTTTCATTTTTGGGTGAACTAACCCTTTAAGGCTGTAGTGATGTGTGAGATATGTGATTGTAATGATATGCATGTGTTTCTCAGGTGAATGGCGTGGATCTGCGGGCAGCTACACATGAACAAGCAGCAGCTGCCTTGAAGAATGCAGGACAGACTGTAACCATCATCGCTCAGTACAGACCAGAAGGTCAGAACACACACACACCTGACTGAACTGTCTTGCACACTAGGTATAAAGCTGACACTTGCCAAATGGAGGTAAAATGGACAGTGCAAAATTAATCTTTTAAGAACTGCAAAATAATGTACTAGTGCTATATTTCTTTAAAATAAATATCACTTTTTTGATATTTTGTTATATAGTGCAAATTAGGGGTGTAATGATACACAAACATGATGGTTCGGTGTACTGTTACACCCCTAGTGCAAATACATTTATACATTTTTAATTCTGGCGTAAGTGTTTAAAAACGTTTTGAAGCCTCTGTATACATTACTGTTCAAACATTTGTGAGGTTTATTTTTTATTATTTTATTCAATCAATCAATTCATCAAAAAATCCTGAAATTCTAAAATCCGAAAATTATCACCAGAAATATGAAGTAGCACAACTGTTTTCAAACATTTTCAATATTAATGATAAATGTTTCTTGAGCAGTAAATGAGCATATTAGAATGATTTCTGAGGGATCATGTGACACTGAAGACTGGAGTAATGATGCTGAAAATGTAGGTTTGATCACAGGAATAAATTACATTTTACAATATATTCAGATAGAAAACAGTTATTTTAAATGGTAAAAATATTTCATAATATTACTGATTTTTATTTTATTTTTGATCAAATAAATGCAGCTTTGGTGAGCAGAAGAGGCTTTTTTCAAAAACATTTGAAAATCTTACCGACCCCAAACTTTTGAATTCTGGTGAACATTAGACTCTCACACACATCACATCAGTGTCCAAACTGACACAAATGGTTGATTTCTCATGAATGTAGCTCTTATGTGCTGTGCAGTGTTGGATAACAGTTGTGTTTGTTTGTTCAGAGTACAGTCGATTTGAAGCTAAAATTCACGACCTCAGAGAGCAGCTGATGAACAGCAGTATGGGCTCTGGAACAACTACATTACGAAGTAACCCTAAACGAGGCTTTTATATCAGGTAAACATACGACATACATTACAACTACAAAAAAGACAATAATTCGACATTTCAAAGTACACTTTTTAAAGTGCACATAAGTGTGTTAATAAACATTCATGAACGTGAACTCTCACTTAAGTGGTCTTTGATTTAATTAATATTATTTGCAGTTACAGTTTCTACAATCTTTAAATATACTTATAAGATTTTAAATACACTGCAAGTGCACATTCAATACAGTTAAGCACACTTCTTTTTCGCAAGGGTGGATTTCCTAGATAACCTACTACATTTGTCAAAATGGTTATAAGCAGAGCACATTGCCTATACTGCATCCCATAATCCACTGCACTCAACTTGACCTTCCGTCTCCAGTGTGACAAATTAACTGGATGCTATATATACCTCGATTTTTACATCTCTTGCTCAATATTTATGTTTGAGTTACAACATAAAGGGATCATACTGCATACTGTTTAACATAGTCCACACTGCACAGTTTGCAGAAAGCAGAAGGCTTGTTCCATTCTGAACAGAGCCCCAAAAAAATGAAAAAAGGCCAAAAATAATTTATTGCTGTATTGCTCAATTTCAACCCAATTCCATGCTTTTCCTTTGATGTTTTTCCTTTTTAACCCCCACCCCCTCCCTCTGTCCTCCTTTATCCTCTCTTTTCCCCATGACTTATATTCTCTCTCTCTGTCGTTTGGCAGGGCTCTGTTTGACTATGATAAGACAGCAGACTGTGGTTTCCTGAGTCAGGCCGTGGGCTTTAAGTTTGGAGATGTGCTGCATGTTTTGGACTGTGGAGATGAGGAGTGGTGGCAGGCCTGCAGAGTCAGCCCACAGGGGGATGAGGAGGAGGTCGGCTTCATCCCCAGCAAGAGGAGGTATGTGTGTGTGTGTGTGTGTGTCGCTGCTTTCTCTTGTGTTATCTGCTCTGTTGTCCTTGAGCAAAATAATATTCAAGCAGCTTAAAGAGGCTTTTTAGCTTTTAACTCTCTCTCTCTCATTCTAACCCACTGTTACAAGGACGTGCTCTAGAGACATTTATCCCCACAAACATTTCTCTCCAGTCATTTTAAAAGAAAGTTCTGGGATAAATGCTTAATTTAAGCTCTGGTGATAGCCTATGAAATGTTAAAAAATCTTCCCTCAGACTCCCTCAAAACGGAAATTACACTACCATTCAAACGTTTGCGGTCAGTAAGATTTTTCATTGTTTTTGAATGAAGTCTATTATATTCACCAAGGCTGCATTTATTTAATCAAAAATACAGTAAAAACAGTAATATTCTGAAATATTATTACAATTTAAAATAAATGTTTTCTATTTTAATATATTTAAAAGTGTAATTTATTTTTCAGTGTTATAATTTACAGTACATTTCACATTTTAAAAAAATGCAAAAACAATATGATTTCTCAATAAAACAACTATTGTTTTTTTTCTCGTTTCTATATTTTAGCATTGTATCACATCTGTTAGTTGCCAAGCTTAATCTTTAAACATCATTTTGATATTACAAAGAAAACGTCTTAGGTTACGAATGTAACGTCTAGGTTACTTGTGTAACCCTCGTTCCCTGAAGGAGGGAACGGAGACGTTACGTCAGTGACTGACGAATTGGGATCTCGCCCGAGAGCCCAATCACCTTCGAGTGTTAACTAAACAAGCCAATGACAGTTGGCGTGCGTGTTTCGCCACGCGCACCCCGCCCCGCAGCGCGGGTATAAAAGGAGAGCGCGTGCAAACGCACATCAGTTTTTTGCTGAGGAGCCGAGACTACGTGCCCCGGCCGTACAGCGGTGGTACAGCAACTGTGGCAACGGAACGTAACGTCTCCGTTCCCTCCTTCAGGGAACGAGGGTTACACAAGTAACCTAGACGTTCCCATTCAGTCAGTCACGTTCTACGTTACGTCAGTGACTGACGAATTGGGATCCGTATGGAAAACGCCACTATTGCTGACCCCCTCCAGTGCCCTGCGGAAGCCGGCAAGTCCCCCCACACCAGCTGGGGCGGAAGATAGGACAGCGGCTAGGCAGAGGTGTCCGCCACTGCTGTTCCATACAGTGGTGCATTGGATAACACTGGGAAAGCGTACCCAGTTAGGATGCTACGGAAGCCACATCCCGCACATAGGAGGTATTATGTGGAATTACACATATGGACTGGCCCAGGGCAGTACTACATATGGAAGTCTCTGCGGTAGACTCAACCCGCCTGGGGTGAGATCACTACACAGCCGAGATGGCAGTGAACGACTGCCAGGGAAAGACACGGGCTTACCGTGAGGGGAGCCGTACCGTGGAAGAATACACATGTGGGATCACCCGAAGGGGGAATCACTACACACGGGCACCTAGCCCAGCACAAGGGCTGACCTTGGGCATGCACACGAGTGCTGAGCCTGGCGTCTGGCGCTCCGCCACGCCTGACCGCCGAGGGTGCGGGAGGAACTCCACCAGGGTTCGCCATGGGGAACTGATTGAGGAGCACAAAAGCGCACGTATCCGGTCCGTAGAGGGGAATGGCGCAGCAAGCGTGATCGACACCGAGCAGGTCCGGTGTTACTGCCTACCTGAGGCGAGTACACGAGAGATTATAGAATCTCGCAAACGTGTTAGGCTTCGCCCAGCCGGCAGCTCTACAGATGTCTGCTATCGAGGTGCCCCGCGCCAATGCCCAAGAAGATGCCACTCCTCTCGTAGAGTGAGCTCTCACTCCGAGGGGGCATGGTAAACGTTGGGCCTGGTATGCCAAGACTATAGCCTCCACTAACCAGTGGGCAAGTCTTTGTTTGGAGACAGCCTTTCCCTTCTGCTGACCTCCAAAGCAGACAAAGAGCTGGTTTGAGGTCCTGAAGCTCCGCGTACGGTCCACGTAAATGCACAGAGCGCGAACGGGACAGAGCAGAGCGATGGCTGGGTCTGCCTCCTCCCGGGGCAGCGCTTGCAATTTCACCACCTGATCCCTGAAAGGCGTGGTGGGAACTTTGGGCACATATCCGGGCTGGGGTCTCAGGACAACGTGAGAGTTACCCGTCCCGAATTCTAGGCACGAATCGTCAACCGAGAATGCCTGCAGGTCCCCTACCCTCTTGACCGAGGCCAAAGCGGTGAGGAGCGCTGTCTTTAATGACAGAACCTTAAGCTCTACTGACTGCAGAGGCTCAAAGGGCTCCTCCTTCAGGGCCGTCAAGACCGAGGGGAGATCCCAAGAGGGTAACAGGTGAGGGCGCGGAGGATTCAGCCTCCTTGCCCCTCTGAGAAACCTGATGATCAGGTCGGGCATCTACGGGGGTCTTCCAGGCGGGAAGAGCACCAACCGACGAACAGGTTCCACTTCAGCCTGTAAGCGTGTCTGGTAGACGGGGCCCTAGCTGAAGCGATGGTGTTTACTACCGCTGGAGGTAGCCCACCTAGAACCTCCGCGTCCCGTCCAGGGACCATAAGTGGAGATTCCACAAGTCCGGACGCGGGTGCCAGAGGGTGCCCCATCCTGTCCTCTGCCTGTGTCCCGCACAAGATGCTGGACCCCGCCCTGTCCGAGGACCCAGCACACTCGTCCGGGGTGGTGCGATGGTGCGACATGCTTGAGGAATGAGAGGCCCACGGAGACTTACTCGACGGGGAAGCTCTCACCGTAACCCCCCTGACCATCTGACCATGAACCGAAGGAGTCCTCCGAGAACCAGAGGAGCTATCATCCATGAGCGCTGCTTCAGCGTGCTGTAAGCCCAAGCACGAGAGGCAGTGATCATGACCGTCAGATGGAGGCAGGAAGCGACCACATCCAGAAACGCACGAGCAGGAAGCCATCTTTAAAAAGACGCCCGTCGCTCGTGAAGCTCTTTTAGAATTTGCTCTTTTAGAAAGAAACACTCTTTTAGAGAGAGCGCTGAAGCGCCCAGGGGTGGTCGTGGCGAGATCGCAGAATGGAAGCTGCAGCCCGCCGAGGTTTCAGCAGCCTGGATGGCAACCCCCGCTGATATGCCGTCACACCAACGCCAGCTGTTTCTCTCGAACACTCACGGAGATTCATCCTGTAGAAGGCTCCGCTTCCGAAGTGAAAAGCTGATGTGCATTTGAATGCGCTCTCCTTTTATACCCGCGCTGCGGGGCGGGGTGCGCGTGGCGAAACACGCACGCCAACTGTCATTGGCTTGTTTAGTTAACACTCGAAGGTGATTGGGCTCTCGGGTGAGATCCCAATTCGTCAGTCACGACTGATGTAACGTAGAACGTGACTGACTGAAAGGGAACCATGGTTCCGCGAGGGAACAAGACGCTGCGTCGGAGAACACTTTGGGAACGCCTTCTGTGACCACGCTCTGAATAACATGTGAAATCAGTCCAATAGCTGGGAGAGACATCACAGGCGGGTGACGTCATGGCCAGGAAGCTATAAAAGCACGTGTGGCGGAGCTGGTGTCAGCTTCAGGAATGAAGCAAGTGCCGGCAGGGATGCCAGAAGTATGGCACCGAGACGCAGCGTCTCGTTCCCTCGAGGAACCAGGGTTACATACGTAACCTGAGACGTTCCTCTTCAGGAACTCGAGCTGCATCGGAGAACGCTTTGGGAACGAGAATGCCCACTCTGCCAGACTTGCAAATCCCTGCCTAGTGTGAAAGAGCACAACTAAGATGAGAGAAAGGGGAGCCAGGAGTGGCTAAAGTAGGCGGGGCCTGCCATCCCGAAGGCCAACTTCTGGAGGAGTGAGCCTTGACCCCCCAAAGGAGAGGGGAGATAAGAGGACTCGAGGCTATGGAATAGCATCCTGATCCACCACTTAGCATAAGCTTCTCTGGCCAGAGGCCTCGGCCTCAGCGCACCGCAGAGGAATCGTGTAAGAAGAGGGTGTCTTCCCACTGAATGGCCACCGAGAGGGGCGTGGTAGGCCGCAATGGCCGCCACGAAGACCTCTAGGGGGGAGTGGGTAAAACCTGCAGATAAACAGGCATGCAGGAACTCCAAACAGGCAGTTAGCTCCGAGGGTGTGCCATCCGCCTGTAAGAGGAGATCACTCCTGACGGGAATCTCCCATAGAGTGCCGTCGAGGAGAGAAATCAGGCCCGAGAACCAACTTGGCCCGGCCAGGACGGGGATACTAACAACAGACGGGCCCCGTCCCGGCGCACTCTCTCCAGAACTCCCGGGAGCAGAACAATCGGAGGAAAGGCGTACAGACGAAGCCTCGGCCATGTGTACCAGTGGAGCTGGATGAGTCAGAGAGAACCAGAGGGGACAGTGCGATGTCATATGAGTCGCAACAGGTCCACCTGAGCCTGGCCAAACACTCTCCATATCTGCTTCACCACCTCGGGGAACTTTTCTGATTATGTGATCTTCTGAGTATTAATGTTAAAAATTGTTGTGATTCTTATTATTTTTGTGGAGACCATGATACATTAATTACTCACCCTCGTGTCGTTTCTACAAATTAAGATATTTTTGATGGAATCTGAGAGCTGTCTGACCCTCCATAGACAGCAATACAGCCGAAATGTTCCCAGGTCCAGAGACGTAGCAAGGACGGAATTTTACGAAGCTACGAGAATACTTTTTATCCGCAAAAGAAAAAAAATAACAACTTTATTCAACAATTTGTCTCCTCCATGTCACCCTGTAGTGCCATTTTGGAGAGTATCTGTTGGACGTAAACAACGTATGCTGTTCTGTGTTTTTCAGGATTCTTTTCCACATTTAAACAGGATTTATTTGAAATACAAATATTTGTAACATTATAAAAGTTCATGAAAAGGAAAAAGTTACATCACGTACATTTTGGTATTCATTTATGAATCAGGCAGAAGTAACCAGGTTTATCGGCTTTACACTGTCATTACAGAAATAAGATATTTTATTATATACCAGTCTCATGTTAACATATATGTTTTATGGCTATAATCTCAAAAGAATATGGGACGAATTCACTAAACATTTTTGCATGTGCTATTTCAGCTCAAATTTACTATTTAATTTACCACCTGGAATACAGTTTAACCAGGTGCTTTCTGCACCAGGGGTGTGAGATATGTGCCAGCTATGATAATATCTTAATTGCTGTTTTAACAATGTGTGAAATTACATTATCCAGTGTCACTCACTTCACAAAAACACACCACGAGAGTCCACGCATTCACTGCATGATGTAGCCTGTTATAATGCAGTTAGCATGCCCTCAAAATGTAAGATTTTTTTGGGGGAAAATTCGTTTTCTTTTATAAGATATGGTATAGTTAAGCAATATCACACTAGGTAAAGTCTCAGAATCACTTACAAGTTGGTGAACTGCATTTTTTCATTTTTGTGGAATTCCCCCCTCAGTGTTAATTTTCCTGTTTATATGTGTATCTATATATATCTTCATGAATCATTCATTCAAATCAATCTTTCTTCCAGGGTTGAGAGAAAAGACTGGTCACGGTTGAAGTCAAAAGAAAGGGTAAGATCCTTGCTCAAACACAAACAGCTGCTTGCAGTTCATCCCATTCAAATATTTTCCTTTAAATTACTCCAAAAGCATTTGGCTCTCCTATGAGATTTGTTCTTCTACTCTATAATCAGTTGTGATGGGTTTAGAGTAGCAGTGGTGTGTTCGCAGCCCATGGGAGTCTATCAAACAGTTGTTTCATGAAAGCACTGAAACTCCTGGGCATTGTGAGCCTGTAGGGCGCATGCTGTAGATACAGATCACTGTGCTCACAAACACACACATGCATTCAGCACATGTGCTCAGTGCTCTCTGTAGGTTTTCCTGTGAAATTAATATTTTAAGCTTCCTATCTTTTACCTGGGCATTTCAGCATTGTGGTGGTATGCATATATAAAATCCCTTAATTGACATTTGTAGAAAAAAAGGAAACCAGGGAAAACATCCACATGCTCATGTTACACAGTTAAAAATTTTTTCAGATGCCACTTTATTATCTTGTGAAAAAAAAGTATGTGTAGTTGCACTGAGTATTTAGTGCAAATCTTAAAAGTATTTCAAATCTAATAAGTAAACTGTTTATGTACTATATTTAAAAAAAATACTACTGACAAAGTACTGACAGATAATAAAATATTAACGAAATAAAGGTAGGGATGTCCCAAGCCAATCTCAAGGATCGGGATCGGGGCTGATTAAGGTTTTTTTTTTTTTTTTTTTATTTTTTTTGGTATGGGGTTTAATGGGCCGTATCTTTTTTTTTCACCAGAAGCTGAGCAAAGGGTCTGAATACTTAGGACCATGTGATATTTCAGTTTTTCTTTTTTAATAAATCTGCAAAAATGTCAACAATTCTGTGTTTTTCTGTCAATATGGGGTGCTGTGTGTACATTAATGAGGAAAAAAAATTAACTTAAATGATTTTAGCAAATGGCTGCAATATAACAAAGAGTGAAAAATTTAAGCGGGTCTGAATACTTTCCGTACCCACTGTATATAAAATGACTGTAGGAATTATGTTATTTTTACAAACACACACACACACACACACACATTGGTGGCCAAAGGCCAAAATTATGAGAACACTAGTATTTTCACCATCTAAAAAATGGTTTCATCATCCAGTCTGTCTGGAATGGCATGAAGAAACAGAACAAACTGAGACAGACTAAATCCAGAAGCTACAGTACTGTTAAAAGTTTTAAGCACTTGTGTAAAAATGCTGTAAAATGAGGATGCTATCAAAAATAATGTCATAAATCTCTATTAAATAAATTAAATCAACATTTGGTGTAACCATCCTTTGCATATATAGCAGCGTTTGCCCTAGGTGCACTTGTGCATAGTTTTTCAGGTAGCTTTGCAGGTAGGTTTCTTGAAGCATCTTGGAGACATTTCCACAGTTCTTCTGGAATTAGTCTGTCTCGGTTTGTTCTGTTTCTTCATGTCATTCCAGACAGACTGGATGATGTTGAGATCAGATCTCTGTGTGGAGCACTGGCTGTTGTCAGACTCCTTGTGCAAACTAAAATCTTACTGGATTATTACAATTAATGGCAAAATGAATGTTTAGAAATGTAAACTGATATTTCCTACTGACACACTACAGCAGAAGATAGAAATAACTGACTTAAAACCTTTTTTAGCTGGTAAAAATACTTGTGTTTAATAATTTTGGCCACCACTGTATATAAATATAAATATATAAAATTGTATACATTACTGTTCTTTAAGTGTGCTTACAAAGAGTCTACTTTTATAACTTTTTCTTAACACACTTAAGTACAAAGAACTGCACTATGTCATAATTTTAAATTAAGTTTAACTTGAAAGTACATAATTAAATAATTTTAAAATATATTTTGTAATTTAAATAAGTACACTTACTAACATACTAAAGCACATATAATTTTAACTGTAGTGTTATTTGATATCACATTTAAAGTTAATATATTTTTAAATGTACTAAACTGCATCATTACAAGTGTGTAATTATAAATATACTTAAATACATACAAGCCTTAATAGAAATTATGTTAAAGTATATTTTAGTTTACCATAGATGCTTGTCAGTAGATTCAGCAGTACACTAACCATATTTCAGACAGCTACAGTAATTATGTATAATTTATATACAGGTGCATCTCAATAAATTAGAATGTCGTGGAAAAGTTCATTTATTTCAGTAATTCAACTCAAATTGTGAAACTCTGTGAAACTTTCTGGAAAGTATGTTAATTTACTGTACATGTACTCAATACTTGGTAGGGGCTCCTTTTGCTTTAATTACTGCCTCAATTCGGCGTGGCATGGAGGTGATCAGTTTGTGGCACTGCTGAGGTGGTATGGAAGCCCAGGTTTCTTTGACAGTGGCCTTCAGCTCATCTGCATTTTTTGGTCTCTTGTTTCTCATTTTCCTCTTGACAATACCCCATAGATTCTCTATAGGGTTCAGGTCTGGTGAGTTTGCTGGCCAGTCAAGCACACCAACACCATGGTAATTTAACCAACTTTTGGTGCTTTTGACAGTGTGGGCAGGTGCCAAATCCTGCTGGAAAAATGAAATCAGCATCTTCAAAAAGCTGGTCAGCAGAAGGAAGCATGAAGTGCTCCAAAATTTCTTGGTAAACGGGTGCAGTGACGTTGGTTTTCAAAAAACACAATGGACCAACACCAGCAGATGACATTGCACCCCAAATCATCACAGACTGTGGAAACTTAACACTGGACTTCAAGCAACTTGGGCTATGAGCTTCTCCACCCTTCCTCCAGACTCTAGGACCTTGGTTTCCAAATGAAATACAAAACTTGCTCTCATCTGAAAAGAGGACTTTGGACCACTGGGCAATATTCCAGTTCTTCTTCTCCTTAGCCTAGGTAAGACGCCTCTGACGTTGTCTGTGGTTCGGGAGTGGCTTAACAAGAGGAATACGACAACTGTAGCCAAATTCCTTGACACGTCTGTGTGTGGTGGCTCTTGAGCCTCAGTCCATTCCTTGTGAAGTTCACTCAAATTCTTGAATCGATTTTGCTTGACAATCCTCATAAGGCTGCGGTTCTCTCAGTTGGTTGTGCATCTTTTTCTTCCACACTTTTTCCTTCCACTCAACTTTCTGTTAACATGCTTGGATACAGCACTCTGTGAACAGCCAGCTTCTTTGGCAATGAATATTTGTGGCTTACCCTCCTTGTGAAGGGTGTCAATGATTGTCTTCTGGACAACTGTCAGATCAGCAGTCTTCCCCATGATTGTGTAGCCTAGTGAACCAAACTGAGAGACCATTTTGAAGGCTCAGGAAACCTTTGCAGGTGTTTTGAGTTAATTAGCTGATTGGCATGTCACCATATTCTAATTTGTTGAGATGTGTGAATTGGTGGGTTTTTGTTAAATGTGAGCCAAAATCATCACAATTAAAAGAACCAAAGACTTAAACTACTTCAGTCTGTGTGCATTGAATTTATTTAATACACGAGTTTCACAATTTGAGTCGAATTACTGAAATAAATTAACTTTTCCACGACATTCTAATTTATTGCGATGCGCCTGTATAAAGATGTCTTTAAGTCCTACTTAAGTGGGTTAAAAGCACTCTAAAGTTCAGCTAACTGCATTTTAATATGACTTTAAACTATAATACATTTTCATCTAAATCATCTACTTTCATCTCATAAATATAATCATTCTGACAGGACTTGGGGGCAGCATTAGCACTGCATCTCCTACACTTTTATTATGGGCTGTTAACCCCTTTAGGCCATGACAAATGCTGCAATAACTGGATGTTTACATCTAAACTGATGCAGGAAACAGTCTATTACAATTTAATAAGCATTGTACCCTCTATATCCTTTTGACAGGACCGAAGTCGAGACAGTACACTTTCACAGGGTGAGTTACAACCGCACAGTAGAGCCCTGAATACTGATACAGAGTTAAATGTTTTGTTTTTGTTGCATGTATTACAAACATAAACTGATGTATGTGTATTTGTTGTCTTTCAGGAAGGGAAGAGCCAGTACGGAGTTACGAGACACTTGCACAAGTGGAAGGTTGGATAACTTGACTGAGTCACCATATGTTGTGTCATTTTATATGCTTGCTCTGATTCAAACCCTAGTGAGATGCCTTGCGTTCTGTCTATATAGGCAGCATCCTAAATGAAATAAAAACCTCATACTGTATGTGATTCAATTCAGACACTCTATAGACAGCAACCACTCAAACAAATATCACAGATGAGAGCAAGACAAATAGCACACTAACGCTGAAAGTTGATTCTAATATTTTGAATTTTGATGTAAAACATATTTTTAGATGTAACTACTGTTATTGATACTTTTCATTACTGAATAATAATATGTTCAAAAAACAGTTTTTGTGTGGGGAGTATGAAATATGTAGGGTGATTATTAGAATGAGTAATCAACTAATCTTCAATTATTTCACCAATTAATCAGTAGGCTTTGATTAATTATTTAGATTTTGCAATTTGTTAAAACATTGAGTTATACTGTACATACACCGCATGCATAATTATTAGGTACGTTGATATTCTGATCATATTTTTTTTCCAAGCACATTTTACCAATTCCAAACCACATCTATCTTAATAACTACTATTAATTTTGTATTTAATCATTTATAAGTGATATATAATTGTCCATGAAGGCTGGAAGTGAAAAACTCCTTATATTCAGGTGTGCAGAATTATTAGGCATGTTTTCTTTTACAGATGAAATGAGCCAAAAAATAGGTTTAACTCAGACTGAAAATATCAACGTGCCTTATAATTACGCACGTGGTGTATTTTATACATATTCATATACATACAGAGCTGCTTTATAGCAGAAAACCCAAGTTGTAATTCTAACTGAAAAGGACACTGATATTATGTTCAAAAAACAGTTTTTGTGTGGGGAGTATGAAATATGTAGGGTGATTATTAGAATGAGTAATCAACTAATCTTCAATTATTTCACCAATTAATCAGTAGGCTTTGATTAATTATTTAGATTTTGCAATTTGTTAAAACATTGAGTTATACTGTACATACACCGCATGCATAATTATTAGGTACGTTGATATTCTGATCATATTTTTTTTCCAAGCACATTTTACCAATTCCAAACCACATCTATCTTAATAACTACTATTAATTTTGTATTTAATCATTTATAAGTGATATATAATTGTCCATGAAGGCTGGAAGTGAAAAACTCCTTATATTCAGGTGTGCAGAATTATTAGGCATGTTTTCTTTTACAGATGAAATGAGCCAAAAAATAGGTTTAACTCAGACTGAAAATATCAACGTGCCTAATAATTACGCACGTGGTGTATTTTATACATATTCATATACATACAGAGCTGCTTTATAGCAGAAAACCCAAGTTGTAATTCTAACTGAAAAGGACACTGATACGGTTTTAGCATGTTTAATACTGTAAAGCTGCTTGCTTTAAAGGGGACATCAGGTGCCCATTTTCCACAAGTTGATATGATACTTTAGGGTCTTCATGAAATGTTGGTAATATATTTTGGTTAAAATGTGACTTTACTGTAGTGCTAATTGCAGAGCTCATGCAAACATATCCACATTGCTATGATGAGATGCTTTCTTAACTGCTGTTTTCTAACTCTATACATTTTATTGTGTGTTTACTTGGTTATTGAGAGGAAAGCTCGCAGCACATATTGCACATTCATCTAAATGTGCAACTGCTCTCTGCGGCGTTTGGATGTTCGCTAACACTGTTTGCAGATATCATACTTCTTTTTACCCCTAACCAAAGAACAAAAGAACTTTGCCTTGAGAATATCAGGGCCTTTGCACATGACAGCTTTTTTTGTTCGTAATTTTGTAAAATCTTCCCACACTCTGCTGGTTCGGATTCATTTTCATGTTCATTGTGTTCATGGGTTCACAGATTCATTGTGTCATAAGCGTGTCTTCTTTTGTTTGATTGCATCAGAGAGCACTGAATTTCAGTCTTGCGCTACAGCACCACACTGGTCAAACCGCATTATTGCAGACCCTTACTTTGGGTCATATGAGATCAAATGATTATTCGACAACAAAAATATTTGTTGGCAGTTTTTTATAGTCAACATTGTCGATGATGTAGACTAATTGTTGCAGCACTAGAAAAGTGGTCTTTGTAGGCAGCTTACTGGGGTTGGGAACTGAGCCACTGATCTTTCATATTGTTGATATTATTTCTCTTCATTTCCATTTTGTAATCACATAGTCTCTCTTGTGTCTCTCATCCTGTTCAGTGCACTACGCGAGGCCGATCATTATTCTGGGCCCGGTGAAGGACAGAGTGAATGATGACCTGCTGTCTGAGTTCCCAGACAAGTTTGGATCTTGTGTCCCTCGTAAGTATTCTTCAACTCTGTTGTCATGCTCAGAGGCATATTGCTCACAAAGAAGACAAGAGCCTTCTAAAAATCAGCCAAAAATCTGATTTGGCTTAACGCAATTTCCGGGAATTAGGACGCAAAGTTTGTGAGGTTTGAGGAATCAAATTTTGAGGTGTATCCTTGAGCACAAATAGGGTCCTTTGAAATTAATTTTTATTTTTTCCTGAATTCTATCTTATTTTTTTCCCAAATTCAGTTTTTTTTGTAATTATTATTTTAATTGTTCTGGATGTCGTTTTAATGATTAAATTACATTTTAGTCAACCAAAAAAAAAAAAAAAAGTTTAATTCATTAAAATCATGAAACTTTTATTCAATTTATTAAGTACATTTTTTACAATAGTTATTTATTTATTTATTTTCTAGAAATTCTGTGATGTCTCTTTTTTGATTTATGATTTAATTCACATTTATCATCAAAAATGGTGGTAATCAAATAAAGGCTTAAAATATTAGCAGAGTAATTCATCTTTTAAAATGTAATCATATGAAAATGAAAAATTCCTTCCTTAAAGAGAGGTTTATTGTTAATCAAGTGAAATGACTCTCACTGCAACTCTGGAAATAAAGTTCATGTGTTCATGTCTTCATATAGTGAGACGGCAGACGTTGAAAACACGACGAGCATCACACATGCTTGAGTGTGTACCAACAAAACGGCACCATTAATTCCCACAGACTTCATATTTAAATGGGTTTAAAATTCACAGACACTAGTCCATGTCATGATTTGATTCAGATAGCCCTACTTTTGATTTATTCATCCAAAATTTGCCAAATTCCATTTTTATGACTGGATTTCATGATTCTGTCCACATTTTTTACATTGTGGAAATCATAAGGCCCTATACATATTTAATCTAATCTTGCTGTCACAGTTGTATCTGAAAAAAACATATCAGTTTTCAGAACCTTTCCCAGATTTTTTCTGCGGACAGTCTCTTCACTTATAAGAAGCAATAAAGAGCTCAAACAAAATTTAGCCATTTTCAACACAGCTGTCATATTAAGCGTAACTGATATCATACTCACAAGATGATGTCATCGCTCTTCTCAGATACGACACGACCCAAGCGGGAATATGAGGTGGATGGGCGGGACTACCATTTTGTGTCATCGCGGGAACAGATGGAGAAAGACATTCAGAATCATCATTTCATCGAGGCGGGCCAGTACAACAGTCACCTGTATGGAACCAGCGTTCAGAGCGTCCGAGAGGTGGCGGAACAGGTTAGATCTGAGTTTTGGACAAAACAATAAACTTGTGTATCATTTGTGTAAATCTTAATATGGATATCTCTTTGTTTGTGAGCAGCAGGGAAAGCACTGTATTCTGGATGTGTCCGCAAATGCAGTTCGTAGGCTACAGGCTGCACAGCTTCACCCAATCGCCATCTTCGTACGGCCCAAATCACTGGAGAACGTCCTGTACGAAACAACAAACAACTACATATATTTAACAACAGTGTTGGGGTTAATGAATTACAAGTAACGCGAGTTACGTAATCAGATTACTTTTTTTAGAATAACTAGTAATGCATTACTTTTTAATTTACAAGTTACTTTTCAAATAAATAACATATATGTATGACAAAAACCTGCAATAATTACATATGTTAAATAACACAAATATCCCTTATGTATTCAATCCAATTTTATCAACCAATATCTTTGATGATCCAATTCAACCATACTAATAAGCAAAAAACAACTTTAGATAGACGTAATATTTGTGTTTCATTTTTTTATTGCTGAAGAGTGTCCTATTCCTGCATCTGGATATCTCTTTGTTTGTGAGCAGCAGGGAAAGCACTGTATTCTGGATGTGTCCGCAAATGCAGTTCGTAGGCTACAGGCTGCACAGCTTCACCCAATCGCCATCTTCGTACGGCCCAAATCACTGGAGAACGTCCTGTACGAAACAACAAACAACTACATATATTTAACAACAGTGTTGGGGTTAATGAATTACAAGTAACGCGAGTTACGTAATCAGATTACTTTTTTTAGAATAACTAGTAATGCATTACTTTTTAATTTACAAGAAAATATCTGAGTTACTTTTCAAATAAATAACATATATGTATGACAAAAACCTGCAATAATTACATATGTTAAATAACACAAATATCCCTTATGTATTCAATCCAATTTTATTAACCAATATCTTTGATGATCCAATTCAACCATACTAATAAGCAAAAAACAACTTTAGATAGACGTAATATTTGTGTTTCATTTTTTTATTGCTGAAGAGTGTCCTATTCCTGCATCCTATTCTTCATGCAGTCCAGAATGGTTTGAGCAGTGCCTTCTACTTTACAGACGTGAATTTACATTTCCTTTAGCCTAAGACATATTCATTTCATTTTTGGTGTGAAAGGGCTTTTACCTTTGCCAAAAAGTAACTGTTTTTATATTAAAAACAAACAAGCAAGCCCATCCCAGATTTAAAAAGTAACTCAAAAGTAAAGTAATGGATTTAATTAGTTACTTTTTTTAGGGAGTAGCGCAATATTGTAATGCATTACTTTTAAAAGTAACTTTCCCCAACACTGTTTAACAACAGTTAAATGACAAAAAAAACAACGTTTAACTGACATTTGATGGGGCTTCTGCTATTTTATCCAGAGAGATCAACACGCGACTAACTGAGGAACAAGCCAGGAAAGGTATGGACCGTGCTATTAAACTGGAGCAAGATTTCCTGGAATGCTTCTCTGGTAAGACAGTCTCACACGTCACCCTCTATTGTCCTGGAGGAAAACTCACACATTTATTAATTACTGGGCAATACCTACTGTAACTGAAATGGAGTTTTTTTAATTTACATGAGTTTTCCAGGTCTAAAAATCACACTTTTATGTTTGGAGCATGACAACTCTCTGAATAGTTTTAGCATAAACAGTGTTATGACAGTGTTAACGTACTGTATTTGGTCATGGCGGACTGGATCTGCTACGCATGCTGTTGCTTCAGAGCAAGTATGGACTTGCTACTGCCAATAAATACACAGACTATATATATATGCTTCTGTGAGCATATAAAATATTCTGTTGCTGCATGAATAAGGATACATAAATCCCGTAGCAGATCTAGACATGTGGAGCTAGGGAGGTGGAGGGTTTGAGATGCATGTGCGCTGCAGGACCAGCTTACAACAAACACTGAACCAGACTATTTAAATATTGAGCAAGCAATCTAATTGGCTGCAGAATCAGCAGAAGCCGATCGGCTTTTGCCACGTAGTAAATGATGGTTAGAATGGTTAGAGAGGCAGACTTGTAACCCAAACGTCGCGGGATCGAGTCTCGGTACCGGCAGGGATTGTAGGTGGGGGGAGTGAATAACCAGCACTCTCTTCCACCTTCAATACCACGACTGAGGTGAGACCCTTGAGCAAGGCACCGAACCCCCAACTGCTCCCCGGGCGCCACAGCATTAGCTGCCCACTGCTCCGGGTGTGTGTTCACAGTGTGTGTGTGTTCACTACTCACTGCTGTGTGTGTGCACTTGGATGGGTTAAATGCAGAGCACAAATTCCGAGTATGGGACACCATACTTGGCCACATGTCACATCCGTTCCTCTTTTCCTTTCCTTTCCTTTTTTTCTCCTCATATATCTCGGTTTTCCAAGACCATGGTGACCCTTATTCTTCAAAGAAAAAAAGTTGTTGAGGGGGTCATTTAAGATGACAAATATCATATTTTAAATCATTTTAAGACATATTGATGTCCCCTTGGAAATTTCCAGAGGCCCCTTGTAGGCCTGGGCAATAACACGGTATCGATATTTATCGACGGTACACCTTCGTCGATAATGATATAAAAACTGTTCGACATAGTGATATAGGCACATACTATGAATGATGCAGACAGCAAACACAAACATGAGTGCTGTGCCTGCCTGTGATGAGCAGATCGTGAATAAAAAAATTAATATTAGTCGAATTTAAAATAAACATTTGCATTTGAATGCAAAAATAGTACAATCGAATGTTAGGTGTGCGTCAGGGAGCGTCATCAGTGGAGCACGAGATGCGGTGATGATGATGTAAGTGACGTTGTAGTTTGTTTTGTTAACGTTAGTCTAGCCCACGAGATGCGCAGTTGCTGCGTTATTCATTCAAAATATTAGAGAAATATAGTTCAATGTGTAGAAGTTCTTGATTAGGTTAAAACCGAAACCAACACACAGAACGCATATTCAGCGCATTTTCTAGACGGACAAATATGACTGCTGCACTCGCGTCTCACACAAGAGATGTATAGAAAACCATGCAAAGTTAAAACAGTTTAAACTTTTAGAAAAAACACGTCACGAATTTGTGGAGGTTTATTCCTTTTCACTGCGTCTCATATGTTTTTAAAGGCAATCTGTGTGATGGGCGATTCGGCTCTTTGTATTAAGCAATGCATATACATGATGCTGTTTTGTTCATAATTGTTTATGCAATTTACGAAATTATATTTGATTTATATGAGTTAATTTAGACGTAATGCATTTTTTTTTATAGACAGTTATTTCCTTGTGTTGACAATTTAATGTGCTGCATTATTTTGCTCATTGCGCCCTCCTGTGGCCTCGGGAAACAAGCCAAACGTTTAACCTATTTAATCTGCATATAAAACATTAGAAATAAGATATTTGTTTAATTTTATTTTGTGTTTGACTGTTCAAACAAAAACAAAATATTTGTTGTTTGTCTCAAATTGTGTTAATTTAAAAATACAGTGGTTAAATGTAAAAAAAAATGTCTATTGCTCTTTGTTTTAAAAAAGGTTATAAAAAATGTCAATAATTATCGATACTGAGCGATATGAAACATTATATCGTTGATACATTTTTTAGCTATATCGCCCAGCCCTAGCCCCTTGTTAAGTACCCCTGATTTAAACAGAGCATTGCATTAATTGGACAGTTTTTGCAAGTTTTTATGAACTATTTCACTAAAAAGTGTATTGACTTGTACACAGATGTCTTAATTAATGCAACAATTTGTTAAATTATTACATACACTCTAAAAAAAGTGCAAAATTGTACAATAGTATCCTTAAAGGGACAACTCTGTACCTTATCTACTCGGAAAAGGTTCATAGTAGTTCCTTAAATATACATATTACTGCTGAAAGGTACTAATATGCATCTTTAAGGGGGAGACATGGTACAAAGTTGTCAATTTAAGGGTACTGCTGTAGTTAAATGTGGTTGTAGGTACAATTTTTGCAATTCTTCTGACTGTTGCAATCATACAACAATGTTTAACTGCTTCACATAACTTTTAAATTTTACACAAAAATTGTGCTCGTGTTGCAAGAATGATGTCCATTCAAGGTACATCGATATTGCACATTTTTAATGTGCCTTATCGGGGTCTTCCATAATCTTCCCATAATGAAAGAATTCACTCGAAGTCATTGGTAAATTATCAAACCGCTTCAAACATAATACTTTCGCTGTTTTTACATGCCCATTGGATTTCAGTTCAGTTTAGATCACACATGTGCTGATCTGTTTGCACAATTTATTCAAGTAAATCCTGCAATGATTTATTCCTGCCATTCTCTTTCTGTATCGCAGCGATCGTAGAGGGCGACAGCTTCGAGGAGGTTTATCATAAGGTGAAAACTGTGATCGAGGAGCAGTCAGGGCCTTATATCTGGATTCCCACGAGGGAGCGTCTGTGAGAGTCCACCCAGAGCCAAACCACCTCGCCCAGTCACCATTTGGCCTGCCTGCCCTGGACTGTGAAGCTCCGACTCGTAGAGCTCGCGAGAAACAGACAGAGAGAGAGAGGGAGAGATGGAGAGAGTGAAAGCGAGGGAGAGAAGTCACAGAGACACCAGGAAATGATGGAGTGGAACAGCACAGGAGCTGGCCACACCACATCTGCCTCTCTTTTCCTCCTTTTCCTAGCTTTGTAACTTCCTTTTTCTGCTTTTAACTTCCTTTCTCTTCCTTTCTCTCAGTCCTTCTCTGTTTCTTTCTGGCTTTCTCTCTAAATAACGTCCTTTCAGACAGGACTGGTGAGCTGTTTTTCACGAACTGGGATGCAACAAAGAAATTTTGTATATTGTCAGATTCCCTCTCGCTCTCTCCGAACAAGACAGGAAGTGGAGAGAGATGAGCGACCGCCTTGGCTTTTACTGGAATGAGACGTTCAAGAGCTATTTCTGATTAAAGGAGCTCGTTTCACAGTACTAAAGGAGAATTGAACTGAAATATGAAAGTATATTTATCAGTATCAATAATGCGCTGAAATCTTCAATATCAAAGATATTACGACTACTCAGAGACTGATGTTCACCCACAGTTATCAGCATCAAGGGCGTTTAATTCCTTTTATAAATTTGAAGTGCTTGACGAGTGCTTTCTGAAATGCAGGAAGTACCGAGCTGGCGAAACTAAAACGTTTGCCTCAGTCCTTCGAATGTTCCACTTAAACAGTTTGCAGCTAGTTCATCACATTGAATGGATAATAAGGAAGGAAAACGGGAAGACGCAGACTGTGACTTTCATTCTGCACATCATAGAAAGCCACACGCTTGATATTCCGGGGTCTGTTTTCTTTGATTTTCTTGCGCTTACATGTAAACATGCACATTTAGACACACGCCAACATAGACTTTGTAATGTTTGCCTTCTTCTATTTGGATCTTCTTGCAACAGCCAGATTGATGTTTTCCTTTGAGCTGAAATGTATTTGCTCGGTTGGATTATTTCCCTGAGTGCCACAGCTCTCAAACACAATGACTCCAGGCTGCTCTTTAATGTGCAATATCGGGCTCTTCCATAATCTTCTCATAATGTAACGAATTTTAGCCATGCTTAGATCTTGAAGTCATCGGTAAATTATCAAACCGCTTCAAATGTAATACTTTCGCCGGTTTTTAAACAGGATTTCAGTTTAGATCACACTCATGTGCTGAGTGGCTACGTTCACACCACAATCCAATTCATTATATATAAATTATTGATTTAAATGAATTTGTAAAAATGATTATAAATGATATATTCAGTAATTATATTGGGATATTTAATTATTTATTTAACACCTTGCCTTCCTTCATGTCAGTCTTTGTTTTCACTGTTCTCTGTCTTTTTCACAGCAAAGGTAAACCAAGCATCAAATGACAAGTAGTAGCTTATTTTGATGAAATAGTACAACTTAAAAAATTATTTAAATCTCAAATATTTCATTGTAGAATAGTAGGTGTTTTGTTAGTGGCACTTTTTTTTTTTGGAGAATGCTTTTCTCATATAAGCTCAGGATAGTTGTTTGTGAAGGCATTGGGACGGTGTATGTATTTGTGGTGTCATCAGAAAATACAACACAATCTCATGGCAATTTGTAACTATTTAATAATTTGGTGAATTGGTGGCTAATTCGTATGAATTTGTACCAAACCATTCATTCAGTTTTGCGCGATCAGCCTACTGACAGTTAAGTTTAGGGGGGAATTTTTTCTAAAAAAATTAAATGTACGTTTTCGTACAATCTACATCGTAGGAATTCATATGAAATTTCCACCTTGTGAAATAGTTATATTGTCTCATAAGATGGGGTTGAAAAATCTGCAACGCCAAGTCATTTTTCTGCGACTCCAGAGGGAGTAGTCACATGGCGTTTACGGCTCCAAAAAAAATCATAGTTGGATCAGAGTTGAATTCAGTGTGATTTTTCGTTTGCCCCATTCAGCTGCAATGTGAACGTAGCCTTACTGGCCTTTCATTCAGCCCATCCCTAAACTCTCACACACACACACACACACACACAAATACTATCAGGAAAATGGTGTATTGTACAAAGTTTTTTTATGCTGTGTATCCGATTATAATTAACTCTTGTAATCAGACCAATGAGGCTACTTTGATGCATCTCGATGGCCAGTCAATGGACATAATCCCACCAGTTAATTGGTGAGTCGATGATGCTGCCGTCACCGAAGTGAAGGGGGGAATTTTTTCTAAAAAAATTAAATGTACGTTTTCGTACAATCTACATCGTAGGAATTCATATGAAATTTCCACCTTGTGAAATAGTTATATTGTCTCATAAGATGGGGTTGAAAAATCTGCAACGCCAAGTCATTTTTCTGCGACTCCAGAGGGAGTAGTCACATGGCGTTTACGGCTCCAAAAAAAATCATAGTTGGATCAGAGTTGAATTCAGTGTGATTTTTCGTTTGCCCCATTCAGCTGCAATGTGAACGTAGCCTTACTGGCCTTTCATTCAGCCCATCCCTAAACTCTCACACACACACACACACACACACAAATACTATCAGGAAAATTGTGTATTGTACAAAGTTTTTTTATGCTGTGTATCCGATTATAATTAACTCTTGTAATCAGACCAATGAGGCTACTTTGATGCATCTCGATGGCCAGTCAATGGACATAATCCCACCAGTTAATTGGTGAGTCGATGATGCTGCCGTCACCGAAGTGAAGAGGATCGGGTCTTAATGATGCTAGAGTTTTATTGGAATACGATTGTGGGTTCATTATGTTTAATGAGATAAATTAATGGCTGTAATGCCAGAGAATAATCAGCTTAGCTAGCTAAGTTTAACAATCCAAGCCTGCCTCCAACTAATTCCCCTTCTCAGAGTGAAACACTCATTTGTAAACAGTTTTACCCATAATTCTGTGAGGGTTGACAGAGTGCCCACTACAACCCTGGTCAACATGAGAATGGCAGAATGATAAATTGGCTTTTTTAACCTTTTGTGCCGTGACAGTGATGCGGTAAAAATCGATATGGTGCTTTGAGCTCAGAGGGCATCATATTCAAGGTCTAAAGTAAGGAAGAAAACGATGGTTTGTCCAGAATTGCGGTCCAGAGGTTTGCATTTGATTTAGTGAGATTTCCTGTAAATCAATGCCATGAGCATTACTATGGGGATTTATGGAAACAGACTTTGATTGAGACTATTGTGATCGAAAAAAACTGGCACTGTTTGAAAATACAACACAATCTCATGGCAATTTGTAACTATTTAATAATTTGGTGAATTGGTGGCTAATTCGTATGAATTTGTACCAAACCATTCATTCAGTTTTGCGCGATCAGCCTACTGACAGTTAAGTTTAGGGGGGAATTTTTTCTAAAAAAATTAAATGTACGTTTTCGTACAATCTACATCGTAGGAATTCATATGAAATTTCCACCTTGTGAAATAGTTATATTGTCTCATAAGATGGGGTTGAAAAATCTGCAACGCCAAGTCATTTTTCTGCGACTCCAGAGGGAGTAGTCACATGGCGTTTACGGCTCCAAAAAAAATCATAGTTGGATCAGAGTTGAATTCAGTGTGTTTGCCCCTTTGCCCCATTCAGCTGCAATGTGAACGTAGCCTTACTGGCCTTTCATTCAGCCCATCCCTAAACTCTCACACACACACACACACACACACACAAATACTATCAGGAAAATGGTGTATTGTACAAAGTTTTTTTATGCTGTGTATCCGATTATAATTAACTCTTGTAATCAGACCAATGAGGCTACTTTGATGCATCTCGATGGCCAGTCAATGGACATAATCCCACCAGTTAATTGGTGAGTCGATGATGCTGCCGTCACCGAAGTGAAGAGGATCGGGTCTTAATGATGCTAGAGTTTTATTGGAATACGATCGTGGGTTCATTATGTTTAATGAGATAAATTAATGGCTGTAATGCCAGAGAATAATCAGCTTAGCTAGCTAAGTTTAACAATCCAAGCCTGCCTCCAACTAATTACCCTTCTCAGAGTGAAACACTCATTTGTAAACAGTTTTACCCATAATTCTGTGAGGGTTGACAGAGTGCCCACTACAACCCTGGTCAACATGAGAATGGCAGAATGATAAATTGGCTTTTTTAACCTTTTGTGCCGTGACAGTGATGCGGTAAAAATCGATATGGTGCTTTGAGCTCAGAGGGCATCATATTCAAGGTCTAAAGTAAGGAAGAAAACGATGGTTTGTCCAGAATTGCGGTCCAGAGGTTTGCATTTGATTTAGTGAGATTTCCTGTAAATCAATGCCATGAGCATTACTATGGGGATTTATGGAAACAGACTTTGATTGAGACTATTGTGATCGAAAAAAACTGGCACTGTTTGTGTCGGGCCAAAAAAAAAGAGAGTACTAAGAAGATGAAGTGAAACACATTTGCACTTATTAAAGGGAAGATTTGATCAGACGTGATGCACAACAGAGGGTTTCTGGTACAAAGCAGAGGAATACAGAGCGATCTTGTTTACTTTCACTTATTTTCTTTTGGCTTTTTGCGTTTGAATTTCGATATTTACATGTGTTTGGAGTGCAGTGACAGTTCTTTTCTTACCTTTATTTTTATTTATAGATTTTATGTAATTATTTAATTGTTTACTGCTTTGTTTACATCGGGGTTTTGTGTTAAGACTGAGATGCTTTTGCTGTGGTTTCCAAAGTGGAGCTGCACACAATCAAATGTGAAAACTGAAACTAAAAAGTCAACTTTACTGTGAAATTAAATAATAATAATAATAATAATAATAATAAAAAAACAAAACAAAAGAAAAAAAAACTAAACTTGCACGCATTACACATACTGATACTTTTATAAACATAGCCCATAAATAAATTTCCCAAATCATATTATTGGCCACACGAGAAATGAAAAATAATAGTGTATATTGCGGTTTGTATGAGCTGCACAAATGTGTGCGCATACACACAACACACACAATATATTACCAAGAGAAATATATGACTTCACTCTTACTAGAATGAATTATGAGTTGAATTTATTTATTTATTTGAAAGAATCAAATGTATTTTATCGATTTGTATTTGCCATAACATATTATTCTAATTATCCTGAACAGATTGAACATATTGCTTTTATTTAAAAAAAAAAAAAGAATAATTATGAAAATACATCTGATGCAAAGTATATTTAAATGATTTATCTTAAAAGAGAGATTTACCAATGACAGTATCAGATTATACAAATGTTTTATTTCAGTGAGATGCTTGTTGTAAATTAGCTACAAAAATAATAAAGCTAATTATATTAATAAGTGTTTTGTTGAAGCTTTTTTTATGGTGTGAATGGGTACTAACAGTGTGGCTGTAATCTCAATTGCATACTACCATACTATGCATACTATTTTTGCAGTATGCATATGTATTCCAATATGTAGATGAGTTTGTTTGTTCATCAGAACAGATTTAGAGCAATGTAGCATTACATCACATGCTCAGCAATGGATCCTCTGCAGTGAATGGGTGCCGTCAGAATGGGACTCCAAACAGCGGATAAAAACATCACAATAATCCACACGACTCCAGTCCATCAATTAACATCTTGTGAATTGAAAAGTTATGTGTTTGTATGAAACAATCCATCAAGACATTTTAACTTAAACCTGTTGTTTCTAACTAAAATATGAGTCCTCGGTCCAAAATATTGCTTCCTTCAGTGAAAATTGCCGTCTCTTCTGAATTGAGAGAGAAATATGCACAGATCAAGCACCTTTCACAAGTAAAAAATGTTGGATTATGGACTATTTGGTCAGAAGCAATGTTTAAAGTTAAAAATGCCTTAATGGTGGATTTGTTTCTTACAAACACACAGCTTTTCACTTCACAAGATGTTAACTGATGGACTGGAGTGGTGTGGATTACTTGTGGATTATTGTGATGTTTTTATCAGATGTTTGGACTCTCATTCTGATGGCACCCATTCACTACAGAGGATCCATTGGTGAGCAAGTGATGGAATGCTAAATTTCTCCAAATCTGTCCTGATGAAGAAACAAACTCATCTATCATTCATATATAATTTATTATCATGGAAATACATACATTTTTGCAGTTTTTATTAGTACAATTATTTAAACGTAATCAACAAATTAAGAAAAGGGTTGCAACTCATTCTGGAGTTATCCAATTACAATGAAAATGGAAGGTCAAGTTAAGCAATTTGCAGAAGAACACATACAATATTAAGAGCAAACGTAAGACTAGTTTGTTACTCTGACCATGTATCATAAGGTCACTGTGTTGTACCAGCCAGCAGGGTGAGCTGTCGAGCTATTTGTCAACTTCCCTGTGCACTTTTACTGTCCAGAAGTTTCCAGGTCTCTTCTGAAATCCAACTCAACTGAATCTATATTTATTTGATACTCATTTAATCTACTCTTAACAAATGCCTTAACAATAAACAGTCTACTATGTGCTTGCTCAGCTATGTTCAACTTGAATGTGTATATATTCGGTCTGTCTCTCCATCTACTAAGGGGGTTGCACCCTCTTCCTTTGAGGAAGTCGAACAACAAAGATGCTTCCTTACCGCCCTGATATACAGTAACCTATGTGAGAGTGTTTTTCATGGCTGCTGCTAACCTTCATGGCACGATGATGGCCAAAATGGGGTTCTCAACCTATCAGTGCGGTCAAACCTAATTAGCTGCAACACACGCAAACAGAAATGTTGTGGTTTATGCAAATCATTACTATTTAAATCAAGCAGATGTCTCAAGGTGTGTGGGGGTGTGTGTGCAGCAGTACAGAAGGTGAAATTAAATCATATGGTGAGATTACAGTGTGAAGGATGGATTGGACGTGTGTGTGTGTGTTGAGTCTCACCTGAGGGAAGCATTCAGACTGTCAATTGCTTTATTTATCAGCTATGGCTGTCAGAAAGCATTCAGTCATGGCTCTCAGTCAGACTAATGGAACAGAGAGAGCGAAAGAGAGAGAGAGATGACTGGAGTATAGACTGGAAAAGGGGTCAAGGAGAAACATAAAGAGTGAGGAACATGAAATGGTGTTTTCTAACAAACTTGTGCTGGGATATGAAAGAAAACAGATTGGGGATTGATCTTGAGACTAGTGATGTTGTTATGTATTCATCATGAAAATTAAGGAAATCTAATTATGCAAAAGGAGTAGTTTGCCTAGAAATGACAATTTTGTCATTCATTCACCCTCATGTTATTCCGAACCTGCGTTACTTTTCTTTCTTCAATAGAACATAAAACATGTTGGGCAGAATGTTATGGACTGACAGCCTCATTCTTCATTGCCTTTCATAGCATCATTTTTTTCCATACAATGAGAGTAAGCAGTGAGCGAGGCTGTCATTCTTCCTAATATCTCCTTTTGTGTTATACAGAAGAAAGACATATGGGTTTGGAAGATCATGACGGTGAGAATTATTCTACTAAATCAAATTTTCATTTTTGGGAGTACCATTCCTTTGAGATACAAAGAACTGAAGAAATGAACATTTATCATGAATCTTATATACCTAAGTATAAAAGTAGAACAGTGCAACAAAAGTGGTTTCTACAATTTATCTTTCGTTTCATTATCATTGTTGTTGTCAGTGATTTAGGCTATTGATTTATAATATAGGCCTATTAAAACCACACTAGATATCTTTCTTATTAAAAATAAAATGTTAAAGGAAGAGTGCAAAAATCCATCTTCCAAAACATGTCTTTACTTAAAGACACTTTGATAAAAGAATAATTATGATTTATACTTTAGAGCTGTCGGGACGGATTTGGCGGTGATTTGCATACATACGTCATCCATCCGTGCATATCCAAAAGTAGCTCTGGTTGTGGGTATCCTTACCAAAAAGTAGTATACTTCAAGTTTATTTTATTAAGTATACTTAAGGAAAGTTCAAGTATATTTAAGTATACTTTATGTAGTAAGTATACAAATATCAGTCTACTAGTAGTATACTTGTAAGTGTACTATTTCAGTACTCCTTGGGACTAAATTGACCCACTTTCTAGTATATAAAAGTATACTTTAAGTATAACAGAAGTAAACTTTGAGTACACTACTAGTTTACATCTATGTTTTTAGTTGTACTGCAACCAAGTATACTCGTAAGTTTTCTTTAAATGAACTGTACATCATACTTGAAGTATACTACTATGTCCCTATTTAGGTATTAATTTGTATATATTTTGTTACATGAATATCTTAACATACAAAACATCAAAAGAAAGAACAGGGTATCTGCTTGCAAACAAAAACATTTTATTCTAGCGTCATGCATTCTTTTTTTTAAACACTCGAATGTGGGTAAGTTTTATAAATAAAAAAAATAAAGAAATACGTAACATTTTTAACAAAAAGCTGAAAAAAGACTATGAATTGGATTCAGAATGATAAACAAAACCTAGATGGAGTCGATCAACACCCCAAAGCTTGACAGTCATTATTACCTCTTCATTGGTCGACATTTTATTCCATAACGTTACACAGTTTTGATGCTGTTTTATGTCTGATGATCGTGTTAGATTACACGTGGAAGCATCTGTTGTTTCGGTTTCTTCTTCGCTTGTGTTTTGGACATTCTGTACAGAAGATGTGTACAGTATACCTACAGTATAACAATGAAAACACAGATTCTCGAAGCACAAGTATAGCTCAAATATATAAGTATATGTCAAGTATACTTAAATGTCATTTTAAGTATACTTCTGAGAAGTACATAAAGCCCATGTCAGAAAAGTACATAAAAAGTAGACTGAAAGTATACTTTCCTGTTTTTAGTTTAAAAGAAGCATACTAAGAACACACTTGAATAAACTTCTTTTTCGTAAGGGTAGCGTGAAGCTGAAAGTTTGTTATTAAAATGAACGAGAAAAATTGGTATTGGATCGTTCAAAACGGCAAAACTCATTTGATGTATCAGTTGTATAACAAAGGAATTGTTATTTATGTGTCCATCCGCTGAGATAAGATGTTACGTATGCGTACACCGATATCGAAGCACAACCGAAACAATGTTCATCCTCACGACGCACGCCATTTTTTTAACCACTAGAGGGCTAAAAGTTAGTGTAGCTTTAACTAGGATTTTAAGAACGCTTAAAAGATCACTATCATAAAAAGGCCTATTTAAGGTTTATGCAGTTTAATTGCACATAAAATCTCCATTCATTTGCATAACATAGTTTTAACAGTTTTAATTAACTAGATGTAAGGGTGTAGGGTTAGTCGTAACATGCAATTATGTGTGGAAATATTTAAACCACGTGCAACAAAACTTACGGTAGAACCTAAACTTATTTACTAGTTGCCAAAACACTGCATAGAAAAAACAAACCACCTTTTGTTGATATTGCTGAACATTTAACCATGTCAAAAGTACATTTCTGACTGAAGTAATTTTTCATCTCAGTTTTTAGTGTTTATTTAAAACGAGACAAACCTGCTATTATATATACTCTAATCTGTTTTTAGCAGTTTAGGTAGCCTAGTTCTTCAGTGCTTCACTAGCTATCAGAAGGCACTAACCAGTTTTAAATTCCAGCTGCGCAGATGGGAAGCATTGTGTAATATTCTATTCTATGATGTAATTTACATTCATTGCTTTCATGAATTTCAATGAGAAACCATGAGAAACAGGTGAATAAAGACTGAGAGTCAATGTTTAATGTTCAGAAATTATTTCAAGAAATGTAAAGCATTATGGCTCGCCTTTTTGTCTGTGTGTGGAGGGAGGGGAATGTTGTGTTCATCTCTGTGTTTTTCTGAATGTGTTTCTTCATCATTTTGCCCACATTGTTTTGGACTATGCTGTATAGCTGTGTGTTGCGATCAGGGCCGTCCCAAGCATGGGGCCCTGGTTTAAATGTGTTCATTGTCAAACTCCAAAATTTGACAATATTTTATTTGAAAAATAAGAATTCTATTTTATTGACAAAATATTTTAGTTTAGATCAGATAACATTTTAAGCTGTCATATAGTCATGTTACAATGTGCTCCTCAGATGTTACAATATGCCCCACCTATGGGCATGTAAGAAGAAAGTATACACTGTAATTATAAAACAACATTTCAGAGGAGAGATACTCTGAACCCCATGTGGATTTACACAAACCGAGAAAGTTAAATGTTGTGTCCCGCTCTCCCCTATATTTGTAAGTCATATTTAAATGAAATAAGCAAGGATTAGATTAGAATGGCTTTAGAATACACAATAACCAGGTTTAAATTAATAAATTAAATTATAAGCTAACCAGTCTCGTCTCATATATTTTATATAATTGAATATTGCTTGTTCCACAGCTAGCCTTATCTGAACAATATACGTCTTAATCTTAACAATTTAACAATCTTAACAACACATTTATGCACAGAAATAAATACATATTAATATATGATTTAAATAAAAGCAAATAGATAACAATATATTTAATACACAATGGCATTATAATTTTTTTAAGCATAAATGGCAGACTTGGCAGTGCGGTATCGGAAAAAATGAACGGTATCGCCTCACCCTCACCATCCTAATGGTGTTTGAGGTGGAGGGGAACCTTCCCACACACACATTCTCACAAACAGTTTCCAGTGCCTTCTGATTGGGTCATCTGCCCATTGTTTGAAACAGGAAATAGGTCATGCAGTGTGAACAGTAGGGGGTGGACGGTGGTAAACCTGTGTGTGGGAAGGAGCTGCTCCATTGCCCTTTCTCTAGATGGTGTCACAATTCAGCTTGGAAAAACGGTTCTTCAGTGGTTCCTTGCCGTTCCAGAAAGTTTGAGTTGGCTATTTGATTCTTTACAGATTGAACGTTCTGAAATGTGTCATTTTTCAATACGTTAACTATTCTGTTCTGTTTCCTGCAGCGCTCAATTTGGGGACTCTAACCAGTTTAGCTATTAATATTTCTTAGGTTTCAGGTTGTTCTTTCTGCTCTTGAGGTGTTTGTAGTCAGAATGGGGTCAGTCTAACAGAGCAGCAGTGTGTTCTGGGTAATCCTGCAGGGAGAGTGAAACCCACACAGACTTTGATACCTGTCACCAGATCAGGCTGACACGAGGCTTTTGAGAAACTCTAACCAGTTTAGCTATTAATATTTCTTAGGTTTCAGGTTGTTCTTTCTGCTCTTGAGGTGTTTGTAGTCAGAATGGGGTCAGTCTAACAGAGCAGCAGTGTGTTCTGGGTAATCCTGCAGGAAGAGTGAAACCCACACAGACTTTGATACCTGTCACCAGATCAGGCTGAAACGAGGCTTTTGAGAACGTGTATGTATGTATGTATGTATGTGTGTGTGTGTGTGTGTGTTTGTCCCACAGACACACTGAAAATTCCCCTCACTACACCTCTCCATTCTGGCTGGTCACCATGGCAACAGAGCATTTTCATGTGTCGTCTCCATTCTAACGTCCCTAATTAAAATGGGTCTGGTTGGGTGTAAGCCGGCGTGTATATTTTGCACAGACATGCGTGCCTGTGTATGCAGATGTTTAAAGGCCACTAAGGAAAAGTATATGTAGCAGGTTTGCTGCAGTAAAACTACAAACAGACAGAAACATTTACATAACACACCTGAGGCGATTACTCCCTCTGGCACAGATCACCACCAACAACACCTAAAGTGTGTTTTTCATCAATTAAAAAAAAAAAGAAATAAAATAAAAAGATGAACTAATTGCCCAGATTTGTGCAAGTAATCGCAATTAATCATATCTAATATTAAAATTTGTAATCATAAATGTACTTTCACATTGCCAGAACTGCAAATTATGAGGTTGATTTTACTTATATAATTTTACATTTTAATTTAAATGAACATGAACACATTATTTTTCCCACCTCAAGCTACATGTAGGCTATAACAAAACAATGATATCTATAAAAAAAATCAGTTACAGCATATGCATCCATGAGATTTTTAGGTCTTTTTAGGAGTTTTTTAAGAAATCAGAAATGATAAATGTTTGCTTTGCTTAAACCATTCCCAGCTAACAGGGAACATTCTCAGCTGTAACGTTCTGGCAAGGTTCTCTCACAGTTATGAACAAACATTCTTCCAGTAACGTTCATAGAACATTCATTCAATGTCTTCAGTAACGTTCCTAACATGTTAGCACAAAAACATTATTTATACGTTGTCTATGGAACATTTTAGTTGGAAGTTCATCTAAAATTATTTAAAGAGAATCATTCCCATAATTTTTGCAATAATAAAAATCTAATGTTCCCCTTAATGTTTACAAAACCAAGAAAAAACATTTTACTATTAGTATTAAAGTAGTTTACTATTACTATTAAAAGTAATGCATTACAACAGGGGTCACCAATCTTGATCCTGGAGGGCCGGTGTCCCACAGAGTTTAGCTCCAATTTACCTCAAACCACCTGCATGCAAGTTTCAAGTATACCTAGTA